GAATGTACACTATGCCTCATGAAGGGCACTGATAAACGGACGGGCAAGATGTAACTTGAGTGAACATTGTACGTTCTTAACAACATCTCGCAACGAGAAACTGAATTATACTCATTTATTGAAGTGTCAACCTCAAAGGGGACATGATTTAATATCACATGAGTACCATAAAGAATACCTTTGTTTAAGTTTTCCAGAAAAAAATAAATGAAGTAATAGGGACATAGAAGATCAATAAAGGAATGTATACTGCTGAAATAAAATCAGCAATATAAGGATCCAACTTAAGTAATCATTCTGCTATTAACCCCAGCAACCCCTAACGAGCATTCGTGACTTTCGACTAGCACAACGGAAAGTGGCATTTAGAGCTTGTGTTAGCGAACATGGACACACCTGGAGGAATTTCATGTCGTCTGTCATCTCGGGATCGTGGCTGAAGTCCTTCTGAGCCAGCAACTCCAAACGTTTTAGCACCTTGCATTGCACCAATCGGAGAGCGCTCTGGCGGAACAGGGGTGAATCTTCCAACTTCTCGAGGACTGACTGTGGGATGAGAAAATTTTAAAGATTAAGAGTGTCCGAGATAACGTAAACCATGGCTGGTAGCGGAAAGCTCTTGCAGAGTGTATACAGAAGACTAATCGGAAAGCCAAGAAGAAAGAGGGAACAACAATCGGATGAAAGTAGCATATTCAACACGCCCTCTAAGTTTCATATACTAATATATTCATGCTACTTAAACAATATCAATAACATAGCTATAGTACTGCTTAACTGAACACCATATGCAGGGTCAATTATCGACTTAGAAAAATTAGGGTTTCGAGGAAATCGCGGAAATTAAAACCACATTCTCCCGTGTCTACGGGTGGTTGGTGGGGGTAAAATGGTTTCCAAATGGGTGGAGCTGATGGGTAAGATTTAATGCGGGAGTTATATTATGAATCCGAAAGGTATTGAATTCTGCTTTGGTTGATGCGAAACCACCAAATGTGGCATAGAACCCACGACATTTCTGGCCCAATATTACACAGATAAGGGAGCGTTTATCCGATCTAAACCGGCAAGATGACGAGCCCGTGGCCTAACGACTTCTGATTAGCAGGTCGCGAGTTCGAGCCTCGGGTGGTGCAATCCCTGGGGTTGGGTATGACTGAATGAAAACGGTTAGCAAGGCAGAACTGGCCATTTCATCGCCTAGCTTCATTGTCGCCACAGCGACTAGCCACCTGACAGCCGGTTTGAAGAGTCGGGTGGCTTCGACAACCCCACAGGCCGAAATTATTATAAAAAACAGCACCAGAATTAAATAATCGACCAAATCGGTGGTTCTGCAAGCACCTCGCTGCCTGTTGTTGTATCCCAATGGCCACCAAAATACCCAAGTACCGGAGGGAGCGTCAGGGTGTTAGCCTAGGACACGCAAACTTCAGCAAGGGACATCAGTACCTAATAAGTGCTCAGTTTCAATATTGCGGCGGTGATATCTTCTTAGGAAGAAGCTAGCAGAATAACCTCGCTAGTCAGATGACCGAGTTTCCTGTTCGCACGTGTGCACTAACTCTCAAACCTCACGTGTGTGACCGATTACGCCTGTGTGCGCACGCATAATCCGATACTGATATAGACGAGGTCAACCGAGTACCGCGACTGTGCCGGACCTTGCTGGCACGAGCAGAACAAGACTGACATGACCTACACCGGATCTAAAATACGCGCAATGCCACTGAAACCGGCACTCTCTCGTGCCCGAGGGAAACAGTAGTGCTCTGGTGGACCGAAATGATGGCTAATTGTTCGGCTGGAATGATGGGCGAAAGCGATGCGGTCGACCAATTGCATGCGCGGAGTCATAGCAACAATTAGTTTGGAACAAGCAGGCCTCTCCGCCTCATGACAGCCAAGAGATTGTGAGTGGTTGTGGTTAGCCGGCCTGAGTCAGGTGACCTGACCACACGTCTGTCTGTTGACAAGACCCGGGCGACGGAAGATTCCTTACGTTGTGGTTGCACTGACAGCCGTTTTTTGCAGCCACCGTCGTAGGCCACGATCGAGGCAGGCATTTTCTGCTTTGCCAACCATGAAAAGCGTCGGG